ATAGCACCTATAGGAGACGCAACTAATAAAACAAGAATAATTCAAATGATAAAATATATATTTAAAGACACACCGATTAAAGTATATCTGCTAGAATCTTTAACGCAGGAAATTGTCGACCCAACAACAAAACAAAATATCTTAAAAGAATTGCATAATTCAGCAATTGGAGGCCACAAAGGCGTAACAAAAACTTTAAAACGAATACAATATTATTCATGGGACGGTATAAAACAAGATGTTAAAAACTACGTAAGAGCTTGCCATGAGTGCCAAAAACAAAAATTAGTTAGAGAAAAAACAAGAGCACCCATGTTAATTACTGATACTCCAAGCGAAGCATTTCAAAAGGTAGCAATAGACATTGTAGGCCCTCTTCCGGAAACGGAAATAGGACATAAATATATTCTTACCACACAAGATCAGTTAACCAAATTTTGCACAGCCTATCCTTTGTCAGACACAAATAGTACAACAATAGCTGATATAATCGTTAATAAATACATTTATACTTTTGGTCCACCTGAGGAATTGCTGTCCGATCAAAGTAGTAATATTTCAGGCGAATTAATGAAAGAAATTGCAAGAATCTTTAAAATAAAACAAATAAAAACGAGTGTTTACCACCCTCAATCTAATGGGGCGTTGGAACGCTCATCACGTATTGGCTAAATATCTAAAGCAGTTTATCAGTCACAATCAAAACGACTGGGATTCGTTTCTAGATGCTGCGATGTTTTCATATAATACCGCGTATCATGAAGGAACTAAAATATCTCCATACGAATTAATTTTTGGTAGAAAACCGCGACTTCCTTCCGTATTGCCAGAACCGCGACAAGGAATCACTCATAGGGAATTTCTTACAGATCTAACAGATAAGTTAAATTACCTGAAAAAAACCGCAAAAGAAAATGTACTTGAAGCAAAAGAGTCAGCAAAAGAATACTACGACAAGAAAGTAAAACCGTTAGTTTTAGATCCGGGAGAATACGTTTATATACTCCGCAAAACAGTCAGAACAGGTAGCAAGAAGCTGACCGATCAGTACGACGGACCATTCCAAATTATACGTAAACTAAGTGACGTAAACTACGAAATTAAAAGAGGCAAACGAAACCAAATTTTACGGGTTAAGAGGGTACTGGATACCGACTATAGACACCTGTAAGCCGACGTTTCTAAGAAGTCTTCTGGTATCGTATTTACTGCATAAAATCCAAAATGCTTTTCCAGATACAAATAAAATGTGCCAAAATTTATTGCTAGCTACTTGTGATTGTCGAA